CCATTTCGAGTAACCCTTAAGGCCTACTCCAAAAGTAACTTGAGTTCATAAAGTCCACCTTAAACATATCCTTTAAGGTTACTCAACTCCAAAATCTTGGGATTAGCTCCCAAGAACTATTGAACTAACATTCCCGAATAGTATTCCTATACTAGTCATTTAATCTTAATAAACCAATGCAAATTCATAATAATTTGAATATTTCAATTTAATTCCACATTCAAGTATACTTGGCTCTAATGTCAAAATATCACTTTTATCCTTCCATGACTTCCTTACATGAGGTAATAGTATATTTATCACAATTTAATTTATACTTTACACACTATTATACCATTTTATTCATAACACATAATCATACACAATTTATTCATAAATTTGTATATTATGCATTTTTGCTTATAAACAATAATAATCTCATTTAGGCATATTTTTATCGTTTGTAAGCCATGCCAAACACATTTAGTTCATTTAGGTAATCTCAAGAAATTAACCCAATAATTATAAGCAATATAGTCGGTCATCCTCACCTTAAGTGAGCTTAAGCGTGTTCTATGCTCCCCGGTTGAACCTTGACTAATTCCGGCGAACTTTGACCAACTCCGGCGAACTTTGACCAACTCCGGCGAAACTCCGGCGAAGCTCAAAAATACTTTAATCAAGTTCCTAACAAGGTTTTAACATCATAAAACCTTAATCAATACAAATAACCTCTAAAAGGTTATTTTCCGGTAAACCGGTCGTTTTGGCTTCTATGTACGTTTTTGGACATAGAACCACCTTCCAACCCATCATTCTACACTATTAATATGGTAGAATAATACTTGGGTTATCCTTAACATTTCGAATAATAATCTCTTCAAGAAAAGGAGGAAGGAAGTAAGTGAACTCATTACCTAGTTTTTCCTCACTTTTAGCACTTTAGCTCCTTTTCTTGAGATTATTCCTTGTAGAGTTCTCTTCAACAATGGAGGATAGGTTTGAGAGCTCCCTTGCACTTGATGGATGGATGCTGGCCGAAAAAATGAGAGAAGAGGGGGGTTTGGGGTTGTCTTTTGTCTCATTGATCAATGAGTAAGGATGAGGGCCCATTCCATTTTGTTTGATGCTTTCTCCATCACTTCACACACATCTCTCATGCTTCTTCTATCACACCAGCCGGCCAAACAATGAAATTGGGTGGCTAAATTCGTGGGTTGGCCCCCACCCATGTGGGAGGTCAACCCTTTTTGCCCAGAAGTGTACAATCGGTCCCGAAAGTTGTATTTTTTTGGACTGTTTTAAATATATTTTATTTTATCGGGTTAAATAAAATATATTATGTGTTTCCAATCATAATGACCCTTATAATGGATATACATTCCCCAACTTTAATTTATAAGCCCCCGAAATTCATTTCAGGCCGTTATCTGTTAAATTACCGATACCGGTACTTTGGCCCCTTTGATCAACCGGTCAACTCTATATCATTTCTTTGGACCAAATAAATTATCCACCACTATATAAATATTATATCGACCAAGATGAATAAAATATACGGTCTCGGGAAAATCGGGTGGCCCCCGCTCCCGGTGCGGGCCCCACGTGCGAATTTACTATTCACGCAAAAACATTAATAAAAATTCACAACTTCGAATACTCGTTAACCATCCCATAAGTTCAATACATTATTCACTTAAAAGTAAATATTATTTGGGGACGGTGTTACAAGTTCACCCCCCCTTAATTGGGATTTCGTCCCCGAAATCCGCGTGTCTAATCGAAAAGAAACGGGTATTGTTCCCTCATTGAGACCTCAGTCTCCCAGGTTTTTTCTTCGACTCGATCACTCCTCCAAAGTACCTTTACCATCGGAATCTCCTTGTTCCTCGGTTTCTTCACCTGTTGACCCACAATCTTTACCGGTTCCACCGCATATTGTAGATCTTCACGTATCTCCACCGGTGGCTTTTCAAGAATATGAGATGGATCCCTCACGTATTTCTTGAGCATCGATACATGAAACACGTCGTGTATCTTCTCAAGTTCTGGCGTCAACTTGAGGCGGTATGCCACAGCCCCTATCCTTTCAAGGATTTCAAATGGACCAATGTATCGGGGGTTAAGCTTTCCCCTCGATATAAACCGGATGATACCCTTCCAAGGAGAAATCCTTAGGAAGACCTTATCACCGACCTCGAACTCCAATGGCCTTCGTCGTTTGTCGGCATAACTCTTCTGCCGATCTTGGGCAACCTTAAGTCTATCCTGAATGACTTTCACCTTAGCCTTGGTGATTTCCACAAGTTCAACCCCTTCGAGCTTGGCCTCGCCAACCTCGTCCCAACACAACGGCGTTCTGCATTTCCTCCCATACAATGCCTCATATGGAGGCATGCCAATACTCGCCTGATAACTGTTGTTATAGGCAAACTCTACTAGAGCCAAATGCTTGTCCCAACTTCCTTGGAACTCCAGAGCACATGCCCTAAGCATATCTTCCAGAATTTGTATCACCCTCTCAGATTGTCCATCCGTCTGTGGATGAAAAGCTGTGCTAAACTTCAGTTTCGTTCCCAAAGATGCTTGAAACTTTGGCCAAAATCGGGATGTGAAACGTGGGTCCCTATCCGAGACAATGGATATGGGAACTCCATGAAGTCTCACAATCTCCTCCGTGTATAGCTTTGCCAATCTTTCAAGAGGATAGGTAATGTTGATAGGCAAAAAGTGTGCACTCTCAGTGAGCCTATCAACCACTACCCATACTGCATCGTAGTTGTTTACTGTTCGTGGTAGCCCCACCACGAAGCCCATGGTAACATGCTCCCACTTCCATTCTGGAATGGTCAGTGGCTGCAAAAGCCCCGCCGGGTGCTGATGCTCTGCCTTAACTTGTTGGCAAGTAAGGCATCGACTCACGTACTCTGCGATGTCTCTCTTCATACCCGACCACCAGTAACTTTCCTTCAAGTCTCGGTACATTTTAGTACCTCCTGGATGCATAGCATATGCCGAAGAATGAGCCTCCTCTAGTATGGACTTTTGGAGCTCCTCACTCTTTGGTATGCATACACGGTCTTTAAACAGTAAAAGACCGTCATCACGTACCCGAAAGTTCTCCACGGGCCCTTCGAGGATCCTCTCGCGGAACTTCTGGCATTCTTCATCAGTGGCCTGACATCTACTGATCTCACTCAGCAATGTAGGCCTAACCTCGAATCTAGCAATGAGGACCCCACTCGTGGACACCTCCACTTGTGCCCTCAAAGTTCGTAGACATGTGAGTAATGTCCCCGACGTACTTTTCCTGCTCAGTGCATCGGCCACTACATTGGCCTTTCCGGGATGATAGTCGATGATCAAGTCATAGTCCTTGATCAACTCCATCCATCTCCTTTGTCTCATATTCAACTCTTTCTGAGTGAATACGTACTTCAAGCTCTTATGATCGGTAAAAATGTGACATGTCTCCCCATAGAGGTAATGCCTCCAAATCTTTAGTGCAAACACTACCGCCCCCAACTCTAGATCGTGGGTAGGGTAGTTCGCCTCGTGTTTCTTCAATTGCCTAGAAGCATAGGCAATCACCCGACCGTTTTGCATCAGTACACATCCAAGCCCTTGGATGCTAGCATCACTGTAGATATCATACCCTATCCCCTGTATAGGTAGGGCTAGTACTGGTGCTTCGGTAAGTTGTTTCTTCAGTTCAAGGAACCCTTTCTCACACTTGTCGTCCCATATGAACTTGGCCCCTTTCTTTGTGAGCTTCGTTAATGGAGACGCCAATACGGAGAATTTTTCAACAAATTTACGATAGTATCCCGCTAAGCCAAGGAAACTACGTATCTCTTTCACATTCTTGGGTCTCTCCCAATCCATAATAGCTTTAATCTTGGCGTTGTCCACGGCAACGCCCGAACCGGATATGACATGACCGAGGAAACCGATCTCTTTGAGCCAAAATTCGCATTTTGAGAACTTGGCAAAGAGTTGCTTTTCCCTTAGCCGATCAAGTATAAGTCTCAAATGACATTCGTGCTCCTCCTCGCTCTTGGAATATATCAAGATATCATCAATGAATACTATCACAAATTGATCTAAGTATTCACTAAACACACGGTTCATCAAGTCCATGAATGCCGCCGGTGCGTTAGTTAAACCAAATGACATCACAAGGAATTCGTAATGACCATATCTAGTGCGAAATGCGCTCTTAGGTATGTCACTCTCCTTGATCTTCAACTGATGCTACCCCGACCTCAAATCAATCTTCGAGAACACTATTGCCCCCCGAAGTTGATCAAACAAGTCATCAATCCTCGGTAAGGGATATTTGTTCTTGATTGTGACCTTGTTCAACTGTCGGTAGTCAATACACATTCTCAGTGTGCCATCCTTCTTCTTCACGAAGAGTACGGGTGCCCCCCACGGTGAATGACTAGGTCTGATGAATCCTTTGTCTAATAATTCTTGTAGTTGGACCTTCAGCTCTTGAAGTTCGGCCGGTGCCATTCGATAAGGGGGAATCGAAATGGGTTTGGTTCCCGGCTCCACTTCAATTACAAATTCGATCTCTCTATCGGGTGGAAGCCCTGGTAGGTCTTTGGGAAAGACATCCGGGTATTTGCATACGACTCGTACATCTTTGATGTCGACTTCCTTCTTGGTATCGTCCACCACATAGGCAAGGTACGCGTGGCATCCCTTCCTCATCATCTTTCGTGCTCTCATCACGGATATGATACAAGCACTAGATTTCCCCCGATCTCCCTCGAAACATAGCGTGTTTCCTTGATCATCCTCGAGCTCCAACACCTTGGTGTAGCAATCTACTCGGGCATGGTGTTTCTCTAGCCAATCCATCCCTAGGATTGCATCGAACTCCAACATGCTTAGAGGTACGAAATCACAAGTCAAGGGTTGACCCGTCACTTCCACCTCACATGATGGATAGTAATGATTTCTCTCCACGTCATCTCCTAACGGTGTGGAGACCAGTAATGTTTGCGTCATAGGCGCCAATGGCACGTCAAGGCCCTCGGCGAACGCCTCACTCACGAATGAGCGTTGTGCCCCAGTATCGATGAGGATCCTCGCACACCTACCATTGATCTTTAATGTTCCTACATTTATACACCATGTAAGATACCTTTTCTAATGTTTTTACACATCATTAGGAGGTTATTAGGTTCATACTAATGTTTGGAATCAAACAGGGGTCCAAACGTAAAAGAACGGAGCGAAAAAAATGAGTTCTCGGTTGCCGGGGGTCCACGCACGGCGTGCCTGGGTGGCACGCACGGCCGTGCGTGCATAGGAGTCCCCCTGCTCGCCACTGCCTCCCAGGCACAGTGCCACGCACGGCGTGCCGTCTCTCGTTCCATCAAACGGTTTACATCCCAAATCTCTTGCTTCTTTGATAAATTTGGAGATCCTTATGGTTGGACCTCTCGCATTTTGGCCTCCATGTGGTTCAACATGGACTCTAGAAGCACCTTGGCTTCCTCCTCTCGAAGCCATGCCCGAAGGTTGCCCCGCTCAGCGCCTTCGGCGTTGTCTCCTCTCTTCGCGCTCCCGGTGGTATTGTTGGAGCAGCGCCTCGATTCTCCCAAGAGTGCCATCGTCCCCACTCTCTCCACTTACATCGTCATCCTCCCCCTCATATGGGGTCTCCACCGGCTCTGTTTCCGGCCTATAGGTTGAGTCCTCATAGGACCAATAAGTCTCACTTTCGGTGTCCACGTGGCCATCGCTCACGGTTTGTTGTTGGCCTCCACGGCCCCTTCCCCTTGACACCCTAGTCGACCCCCGGCTGCCGAGTTCGGACCCACCCGGTACACGGCCCGTCGGGTTCCTCCTAGTGATTCTTCCAATTGGCTCCATTTCTGAAAGAAGTTTAGAATGAGCCATTAGACTCGTATCCACTGTCAAGTGACGGATAGGCACTTAAAGACATCTTTTGGCTCAAATCACCGTCATACCAATTGTTAAGGGTACCATCTTAACAATTAGAGACTTTGCAACTCAAGTACCAAAAGTTCTATAAGTACAAAACTTTTATGCTCATGGTTTTCAAATTCGTTTTTCAAAAGAGATTTTGAAGCTTCATTATGAAGTTTACGGACCTGGCTCTGATACCAACTAAATTGTCACGCCCCGGACCTAACCGGACACGTCAACAACCCGCCGTACAGTACGAATAGTCAACCGCAGTCCAACACATTCATACTATACAAGGCGTCTGGAATATCATTCACACATAGTACATCCATAAACAAACATAATGTAAAATATTCATTCATAGCAGCGGAAACATTCAATACGAGTATTCATGCCACACCTTGGCAAACATGGGCATACAAGCCCCCAAATAAATATTTAAAAATATTATCCATGAGCATTAATTAAATAGTTTGTAAAAATGGAAACGGAGGAAGCACGAACCGCGCCTCCCCTTCCTTGGATCCTCCCGAGAGCAACGTCGTTGGTAGCAACCTTCAAGTTCTACCTGAAACTGTGAGGTGGCCTCCCCCGTGAAGGGGAGGTCAGTACTTGGAAGCATTTGACAAGTACAATGACAACTATACTAAGTATAATCAAAGTTTCAATTTCCAAGACCCTCAATCTAAGATGTTATTCATTTGTAATTAACTCATGTATGTTCTCCATGCTAGAGCTCGGCTCATAGTCATATCAATTTGTGCTAGAGCTCGGCTCATAGTCACCCCGCGTTTGCTAGAGCTCGGCTCATAGTCATACTAATTTGTGCTAGAGCTCGGCTCATAGTCACCCTACGTTTGCTAGAGCTCGGCTCATAGTCATACTAATTTGTGCTAGAGCTCGGCTCATAGTCACCCTACGTTTGCTAGGGCTCGGCTCATAGTCATACTACCACGTGCTAGAGCTCGGCTCATAGTCACGTCACTAATCCCTAAACCACTTCTTAGTCTAGGTTCCATCCATTTCGAGTAACCCTTAAGGCCTACTCCAAAAGTAACTTGAGTTCATAAAGTCCACCTTAAACATATCCTTTAAGGTTACTCAACTCCAAAATCTTGGGATTAGCTCCCAAGAACTATTGAACTAACATTCCCGAATAGTATTCCTATACTAGTCATTTAATCTTAATAAACCAATGCAAATTCATAATAATTTGAATATTTCAATTTAATTCCACATTCAAGTATACTTGGCTCTAATGTCAAAATATCACTTTTATCCTTCCATGACTTCCTTACATGAGGTAATAGTATATTTATCACAATTTAATTTATACTTTACACACTATTATACCATTTTATTCATAACACATAATCATACACAATTTATTCATAAATTTGTATATTATGCATTTTTGCTTATAAACAATAATAATCTCATTTAGGCATATTTTTATCGTTTGTAAGCCATGCCAAACACATTTAGTTCATTTAGGTAATCTCAAGAAATTAACCCAATAATTATAAGCAATATAGTCGGTCATCCTCACCTTAAGTGAGCTTAAGCGTGTTCTATGCTCCCCGGTTGAACCTTGACTAATTCCGGCGAACTTTGACCAACTCCGGCGAACTTTGACCAACTCCGGCGAAACTCCGGCGAAGCTCAAAAATACTTTAATCAAGTTCCTAACAAGGTTTTAACATCATAAAACCTTAATCAATACAAATAACCTCTAAAAGGTTATTTTCCGGTAAACCGGTCGTTTTGGCTTCTATGTACGTTTTTGGACATAGAACCACCTTCCAACCCATCATTCTACACTATTAATATGGTAGAATAATACTTGGGTTATCCTTAACATTTCGAATAATAATCTCTTCAAGAAAAGGAGGAAGGAAGTAAGTGAACTCATTACCTAGTTTTTCCTCACTTTTAGCACTTTAGCTCCTTTTCTTGAGATTATTCCTTGTAGAGTTCTCTTCAACAATGGAGGATAGGTTTGAGAGCTCCCTTGCACTTGATGGATGGATGCTGGCCGAAAAAATGAGAGAAGAGGGGGGTTTGGGGTTGTCTTTTGTCTCATTGATCAATGAGTAAGGATGAGGGCCCATTCCATTTTGTTTGATGCTTTCTCCATCACTTCACACACATCTCTCATGCTTCTTCTATCACACCAGCCGGCCAAACAATGAAATTGGGTGGCTAAATTCGTGGGTTGGCCCCCACCCATGTGGGAGGTCAACCCTTTTTGCCCAGAAGTGTACAATCGGTCCCGAAAGTTGTATTTTTTTGGACTGTTTTAAATATATTTTATTTTATCGGGTTAAATAAAATATATTATGTGTTTCCAATCATAATGACCCTTATAATGGATATACATTCCCCAACTTTAATTTATAAGCCCCCGAAATTCATTTCAGGCCGTTATCTGTTAAATTACCGATACCGGTACTTTGGCCCTTTTGATCAACCGGTCAACTCTATATCATTTCTTTGGACCAAATAAATTATCCACCACTATATAAATATTATATCGACCAAGATGAATAAAATATACGGTCTCGGGAAAATCGGGTGGCCCCCGCTCCCGGTGCGGGCCCCACGTGCGAATTTACTATTCACGCAAAAACATTAATAAAAATTCACAACTTCGAATACTCGTTAACCATCCCATAAGTTCAATACATTATTCACTTAAAAGTAAATATTATTTGGGGACGGTGTTACATTCTTAGATGCATTTTATTATTTCATAGAATATCATTCCGATTTCTTTGAGTAATCTCATGCCTAAGCCCAAAGCATGGCTCATGATCCTCTCTTAAAACCTTTTATTCATACCATTAATTAATTAATCACTAATCATGTCATATTTCCATAATCCATAACTAATATGGCTAATCACAACTTCACATACCTTTTTATATATTCATTTACTATATTACTCAAGTTAGTCACATATTCAGTCCAAGTATGCCTTCTTATACATAAAAAAAAATACTCATGGTTAATCAACAAATTAATCTCTTTTCCATTAATCATATAATGTTTCCATAATCCATATATACCATGATTAATCATTCATTTTATTCCATTGAATCATTTCTCAAAATCATAGTTTTGATTACTTAGGTAATCCCACGTTTGACCCAAAAGTTACAAGACGCGTAGTCGTTCACTCGCTTTAAATGAAGCTTTAAGAAGTTTTACACTCTTCGGTTGAACTCCGGCGAAACTCCGGCAAACTTTCTGGTGAACCTCCAACTACTTCAAGCTTCCTTAAGAAGTCTAGAATACCTTAGTGAAGTCCTTATCATGATATCATAGCCCAAACGTTGTATTAGCATCAAAACCTTCCAAGAAGGTGTTTTCCGGCGAACCGGTCTTTCTAACCTTCCAGAGTCATTCAAGGTAGTATCCAACCCTTTGGATGATTAAACTACTATATTAAGGCATTATTCTACACATATAATCGTGTAGGACATTTACCTTAGTCATTCATAGGGTTTATAAACAATTAAGGTAATAACTAGAAACCAAACACAAACTGTTATGAGAATCCAGATTTTTACCTCGTGTGTTTATCTGGCCTTTCTGGGCTGTAAACTACTCGTCTCCTCAAGAACTGCACTTCTCATGAAAGCTCTCTTCAATAACTATCTATATACACCTCACTCGAGCTCATTGGATAAGATATGCTCAAGATATGAGGTGAACAATCTCAAGGGTTGCAACTGTGCGATTTAATTGGCAGCAGTCTTCTCTACCTCTTTTCTTGTGTTGTGTGGATCTATCCCATTCTCCAGCACATTGGGGGTCCGTAGGTTTTTTTTGGGAGTGCTCTAAGTCCTCTCATTGAGCTAGGAAAGTCGTGTGGTTCACAAATGAGAAGGGGAAGATATTTTCCCACTAGATTGACTATCACACATGGAGTGAGCCTCTCTTTAGTCTCCTATCATGTTCAACCCTTCTTCTCAATTATGTCCGACCAAGGTAAGTTTCCTAACTTTATTTTCTTTGTCTTGCAGGTGCTAAAGAAGTATTGGACGTCCCCCATTGGTCCCAATCAATTTTGGAGAAAAATATCTACCAATACTTCCAATAATGGAAGAATTGGATCCTATAATATTTTGTTCTTTTTGTCATGTGATGTATTTTTGTACTCATTCGAATTTATTTAGACGATGTCACACTTTTAAATCATATTATTGGTTTCTAATATGTGTAGGGTGGTCCCAAAAAATAATATGGTGTACAATTATAGGAGAAAAAACTTACTCCCCTAATTTAGTTCAATAATGTCAAAAGTGAGACAATAAGAGTTTGTTTGTGTCTCTAAGATTTATCCTACTCCCTTTGTACGTATATACCAATAATTCTAGCCCTCCAATTTTATATTTGGAGTCCATAATATGTGTGACATAATCCCAAATGCGTCTAAGGAGCCCCTCCCATTATCCTTGCTATTTTTGGCAAGTTAGGCCCAAATATGTTTTCGGGCTGTCCACCCTTACTCATTTGATCTAAATGGCTTATGAATATTTATTTATTTATATGTGGCTCCTAAGATTAATAAGATGACCAAATTTGGTATTCGATAGTACATCCTTTAAAATACGGTCTGAATGACTAGTTTAATTAATCCTTTATTAATTAAATACTTTTATTTAGATCCTCGTTAAATTTACATGGGGTCTCGTTCCCGATGTGGGTTCCGTGTGTAGTTTTACTACACGGTAAAAGTTAATCCGTAAAAACAAATTTACTGCACCTTCATATCAAGTTGCCACTTGCCATGTCTAATTTACCCAATGTTATATGTGAACATTTTCGGAGGTGGTTTTACACCTACTCCTCTATGTGGGTCCCACGTCTATTTTTATAATGTTTTATTAATTTAAAATAAGAATTTTATCTTTCTCGTTAATAAGACTATTGTTAGTCTTGATTCACTTCCTTTAATTCCACACCTGATGAGAAAAAATTCTCACGGTGAAATTCGGGTCCGTTGTTACAAGTTCACCCCACCTTACAGGAATTTTGTGATTTTGTCCCCAAAATTAACATCTGAATCGTGAGAAAACAGTTCTCCCTTCACTAATTGAAGCTAACAATTTCAATATCATAATATACTTAAGAAACGTTGCGTTCAAAAACAAAATACCTTATGCCATAGTCGGGCCCAACAAATGGCTTCCGCCATTCTCGACCTTCTCGAGCGAGTTCACCTTTGATTTCTAGAGAGTACCATATCTGAGGCAACCCCAGTTGGCTTTTCAACCCCTGTGACTCCTCCTCTAGATCCTAATGTCCCTTCATGTGTACGTTGAGGACAAAGGACCTTGATGTGGCCCGTTTCTCCACAAAAGTAACATCTGGATGGCTCTAGACATCTCCCGTGGTGCTTTTGTCTACAATTTTCACATTTGGGTGCTACCATGCCCCGAGTGTTTGAGCTTTGACTTACCAAGTCCTGACTCCCTTTGATACTGGAACTGACTTGTTAGAGTCCCCCTTGCTCTCAATGTCGTGCTTCCCCTCCAGTCGTGGAGGGTGGTCGATTACCTGATTACTTTCTTCCGTTTCCTTTGATGTCTTCCCACCAAGTAGATTTGAAGCTAAACCTTCCAACAATGTAGTGGCTACCCTTAACTTCATGTGACACCCTAAAAATTTAATAGTAAAGTAAATAAAATAAAAATAAACCAGAAACAATATAATTCACATGATAAAAATAAAATGAATATTAAAGATGATATTAGGAATACCCAAAATCAAATGATACACAAAATAATAAAACCATATATATAAGTAGTAGGCCTAAAAAGGGTATTGGTTAAAATATATGCACAACTTAATTTTTCATATAACAAAATACATAAATAAATAAATAAATACAAGTTGACCAGTCAAAGATATACATCACACATATAATGCGTAATAAAAAGGGCATTTTACAAACGCGACAGGCTATCGTACGAGGACCCAACCGAATGTATGAGACATAGACATTATGTGATATAATGCTCACATGCATTATCTTACACAATCTGGTAGTAGAAGACAAGTATGAAAAAATTGATGATGATGCGAGTACTCAAGACTATAGTGTGCAGTATGACTATATTGTTGTGCACATTTAATTTGATTTTAACCACGATACTCCGACTTTGCATGCCTACATGATGCGACATAATTGAATCAGGAGCATTGTGGTGCACACTCCACATAAAAATGATCTCGTGAATCATTTGTGGTGCCATCACGCGCCAGAACACCGCATAGTAGGTTATTTTTCTGTTGTTTATGTTAGGTCCCCTGATTTTTGATGAAATAGTTTTGATGATGTCAAACCCCTTTATCCCTGTATTAGACCAGTCTCGCTTTGTGTAATTGTAATGTGCTCCATATTTATTGGATAAAGTACCCATAAAAAGCAAATAGTACTAAAAAGAGAAGTTAAACGCACCATAAACAAAAGAAAGAAAATGATCAACAAAAGAAAGAAAGGGTACGAAAAGAGTTAACTGGTATTCATTGTTAAGGATTGAGCCAACTGGAAAAACTCCAGAAATCAGCAGTTAGCCGATTTCTGGGGAGCCAGCTGAAATGCTTGGCAGCCAGCCGAAAGCTGGGTTTTTCAGCTAACTCATTCGAAATACAATTCTCTCTTCTCTTAGCACAAAACACTTATACAACAGACCAACTTGCAGACAAAAGAACAAATTGTTAAAAAGTAAATTTATAAGAGATTTTTATCACACTATGAATTTGTTATAAATTTATTTTACAAAAGCAAGTGTTCGTTCGTTGTAAGGTAGCATTGAAATATCACTCGGCTTTATACTAGTTTCTACGTAGGAAAATAAAAGATAAATTATCTTTTATATTGCATTGAAATGTGTAAACAAGTTGAACTGAATATAGTTGATCCGTGTCACTACGTGACAAGAAGAAACCATGCTGCCTCAGTCAAGTGGAACAAAGCAAGTATATCAAGCAATGGTCAAGATTCATTTTCTCAGCCAACGGTGA